TGTGACAACCATAGAATAATGTGTTTCTGGCTGAGAGGGAAACACAGACCAAACGTGGATATACTGTGAATGAAGCTGCTACGTTTCTGTAAGTACAAAGGTGAAGGTGAACACACTAATGAGCTGCAGGTACTGGCAGAACAAACTCAGAAAGAAAGAAAAGCACACACACTTAAATAGCTACCAGGAGAGAATACAGACAAAACATTTGTACTTGATCAAAATGGTTTTTTGTCTTTCTAGCTGCCAGTAAAATAAGCTGATGACTTGGATGCATCTGGCACCTTATCCTCGAGCTCTACTTCATGCTGCTTTAAAAGTAAATAGAGCTGGCTCAAATAAATACTGTTTTTAAAGCACATTGAATTTGTGCTGAAATATAGTTTATACATAATAACAGCCCATAATATCACTGTTTTTGGATTTAAATGGATAATTGTTTTCCACCCTGTGAGTGTTATCGTTAGAAGAAACCCTAGTCCACTATGACACAGCTGTTTGAAATACACTTATTTGCACTGGTGGAAGAAGGACTCCAATGTTTTACTTACAGTAATTCATGTTTGTAAAGCACTTACTAGCAACTAGGGATGGGAACGATTAATCGAATATTCAAAATTATTCAGGTATTCGAATATGAGAATATGAGTTATGCATTTTTTTATTAATCTTTTTTTTTTTTTTTGAGGGGTGCCGAAGTTGATAACATATTATCAAATGGAATAATTCAATGTATACGACAGTGCCATAGCTAAATGTGTCGGGTCTAAAGGTTTGTTTTGCTCCGCTCACCGGTCCCTCACAGCAGGCAGAGCTGCAGGTGCTGATCTCTCTCTCTCTCTCGCGTCTGGTTATACTTCACTCGCGTTTATGTCCAAATCCATCAGATCTAGTTCTAGCTAATGAAATGGCTGCTGCCCGTCCCTACAGGCAGATCACGCAGACTCAAACCTCATCTTATGCCCAAATTCCAGCTGAGAGGGTCTTCTCTACATCTGGCCTGATTGTGAATCACCTCCGCACCCGCCTCTCCCCTGAGCATGTAGACATGCTCATATTCTTAAAGAAGAATGAGTATTGAATAGCTGCATTCTATGCATAGGCCCTGTTATAGGTTGTTGATATCTGTTGTAATAGGGTTACGTTACCCTAACCCGTTATGCTGTTTGTGTATGATCTCTCTTTCATTTCAAAACCAAGTTATGTTCTAAGCATGAAAGCTGTAGGCCTATAGCTGTCAACTGTTCAAACTGTGATCACCAGTTCAATACATTTGACTAATTCGACTTGGTTTCTTTTATACTTATTTTAACTTTTATTTTATTTTTTATTTTTTATAGGATATGTACATTTCGGTCAATCGGTTAACCGTTTTTTGGGGGGTCGAATATTCGAATATACATTTGCTTTCAAATTCCCATCCCCACTAGCAACCCTAAACAAGAGTGGGATTATTGCCCCAAAAACATGAGGACGTTTTCTGTCTTTCATGAACTTCAACTCTCTTAATTTAAAGTACGGTAACATTATCCAGAGAGACCTTCAAAAGGGGAAACATTTAAAACATGTTTTGCACTTTACAGTTTGACATTAACACAGGGAAAGAGGACTGGGAGTGACACTCACAATCATTTCCACAAACTATTAAGGTTTGTCATAAACATGCAGCAGTATTGGTCTACCAAATGACCAAATGAGATCTAATTCAACGCTTGTATAATGCATCGCCACATCACATCATTTCCTGATTAGCAAAATCATACATCACCCTAAATGGCCAGTTGTCTTTAGAGGGGGAAATGTGTGTTAGTGGAGAAAGTGAAGAGAAGGAACATCGATATAGCTCTTAAGGAAACATGGGGATCAGATGCGAGATGAGAGGAGAGGCTCCAAACAAGAGTAGCAAGTGAGGATAAGAGCCATTACTGTTTCAAAGATGAAAGGAGGTAAAGAAGTAAAGGATGGGAGAGAAGAAAAAGAAAAGTGGGACAAGTGGAGAGGGAGTACAAGTGAAACAGATGAAAGCAGGAGGTAAGGTTTTAGAAAGTAGGATGGAAACGTAATGCAGACACTGGGAGAGAACAGGAGAAACAACATGTGCTGAAGACAACTGAGGAAAGCAGTTGGGGGAAAACGAAAGGGTTAGGCACGTCACGCAATGAAGTGATGTTTCTGAAAGATCTGAGAGCTGTGGTGCGTTAACCTGGCAGTTCTCTGATTATAGAAGTCACGCTTAATTATCAGCAGTAGTTTTGTTCAAGGTAATAGAAGAAGTTACACAATATAAAGTAGGCCAGCCTTTTCTGTTCTTCTACTCAGTCCCAGTTATCTTAACACCAGTTTCATTCTGGTTTTGTGTTTCCAATCTTCAGTCTTAACCTCTGTCCCTCTTCTCTTTGTACTTCCTTCTCTTGATGTCTGTCTCATCTTTAAACCCTTTTTCCTTTAAACCCTTTTAAGCCACCAATGTCTTAATTATATATATATATATTATAGTATATAGACTCTTATTGCACAATTTCACTATTTTTCTTTTTACTTGCATTTACTGTTTTTCTGTTGTATTGTGTTGCACTGTTGGTGGAGCCTGTGATCTAAGATTTTCATCGTCATGACTACACTGTAGCTATGCTAGGTTGGTATGACTAATAAAAGCTTTGAACCTTGAATTCAGCTCAGCTCCTTCTCTTGTTTTTCATGCTTCCTCCCCTCTCCTTCTCACTCGTCCCCTTCCTCACTTCTAAACATAGCTCCATCCCTAACACCAATGTATTTCTTAATGCAGTTAAACCCAAATGTCCCCTTGGCGCTGCCCAGTATCACAATGTATTCTGCTGCTGGTTGACTGGAGCAGCTGAGGGGGTTAAGTGCCTTGCTCAAGGACATGTCCAACGACAGCGAAGAATGAGCCTCACTCGCTTTCTGTCCACTCGGCCATTCATCATCCTCCTTCTCTCCTCCCATCTCTTTATCTGTGAGCATCACCTTCACACACCCTCCGTTCCTCCACCCTCCCTCCATCACTGTCTCTCCTCTCAGCCCTCCCATGCTCCATCACCCTCCTTCCCCACCACCCACTGCTTCTATTATCCCTCGACTGAGCGCTGATGAATGACTGAGTTTGATTTTTTTGGGGGGAAAGAAGAGGAGGAGGATGTATCGAGCGAGGGAATTGGAGGGCAAGAGTGGAGAATAATAAGCAACTTTAAGTTTTGCTTGAAGCTTATGTTGTTATTCAGTGATTTCAAATCTCTGTTAGTCACTTTCAAAAAGCAAAACCACGCCCTTTGGATCACTCAGTGCGCCCGGGCAAAGTTGAATGTGTTTTTAAAGTGTTATTTGTAGGAGTAAAACTTGTAGGCGATAAGATCAGCTTCACTGTTTTTTATTGCTTTTACCACCGGAAATATATATACTAAGTTTTCTGCTTTGGTATTAAATTGTTATTGCTTCTTTTATAAAAAACATCAACAAGAAAAGCTATTCTAATCATAAAGGAGACTGTCAACTTCAAATAGATGATTCATCTTCAGTTAGTGCTCATTTCTGAGGAAACACCTGAATAGCTATGCAACTGTCAAAAATAGATCCAGAGCATCTTTTGAAGTCGAAAATGAAATAATGACTGAAAAAAACACGACTGACGAGAAAAATACCTGATATTTTCTAGTCTGATGCACTAGTGTGAAATATTACATTAATCATTCAAGTAATGATTAATGAGTACAACCCAGATACAAACAGACATCTCAACCTCAACATCCAGTTTTTAAGCAAGTACACCAGCAACAAAGTAGCAGTCCGCAATATAAAATGATAATTTAAAGATATTTTCTTTTGGATGTTTTCTTATAAAAACACCAACAACTGCTCCTGGTATTTGTTGAATTCACTCCCCTGCTAAGTTACTGTCGGTTCAGCTGTTAGCAACCAGAACTGAGACACTAAGGGTTAAGCAAATGGACTAAGCTTCAGAGTCACTACCAATAATCATTTAATGTGTATATAATAGAGATGTCCCGATCCGATCACGTGATCGGGGATCGGAGCCGATCACGTGATTTTCAAAAGATCGGAATCGGGAGAAAAAAATCGGGGATCGGG